AATGTAAAGAGAACAGGTGCCTCCTGGCGGATGAAGTGTGAACTGCTGCAGGGCATGGTAGGGCAGTGTGATGACAGGAATATAAATCCTTGTGCAAGGTGGGGAGGGGGTGTGCTACAGACCTAAGGCTGTCTGAGCAAGGTGAGGCTGAGGCAGGGTGTGAATAGTCAGTGTGGGCTTTCTCAGGCCGGAAAGAACAGGAGTTGGGAGACTGGTTTAGACCTGTTTCAGGACATCAGTACAAATAGTTTGAGGACAGGGACTGGGAAAATGGCTGAATGGGGAGGCAAGAAGCCTCAAAGCCTTCAAGTTTAAGTGCTTGGGAGAACCATGGGTCCAGCAGCAGAAGCAGGGAGTCAGGAAGAACAGACAGTTTTTCTTGTATATCACACAAACTACAGTCCCTGGCTTAGCTATGTCATGGCCACATCCTTATCTGCTACTAGAAGTCTGGGGACCCAGCCAATTTGGCCACATCCCTCTGAAAGGAGTTTCATTTTGGACAGGCTGAGTTAGTGGCTCTAGACAGAGCCTACTAATGGGACTTAGAAATGTCACTGGCGCTCAGCTACTAAGCTCGTTTAGACTCTCCTACTGTAAAAGTGGTTGCTTAATGAGATAAGAAAGGGAAATACAAGTGAAAGAGACAAAGGATGACAGGGAGAGAGAAAATGGCTGACATTGGGCCTGCCTGTCAAGATTCACACACTAAGTAAAAAGTGAAGTCACAGCATTTAAATGTCTGGTGGTCAAGGGGGAGGGGTCAGGAAAGGACTGGAAGTCTCCACACTGAGATTTAAGGATGGGCATCCATTCTATATTGTAAACAGGAGAACCACATACCAAATGTATGGGCAAAGATGAGCATGCTGGATTGGGGTGGGGGCAGGAGGCTGTGTGTGTGTGTGAGTTGCTCAGCTGTGTCCGACTCTTTGCGACACCACAGACTGTAGCCTGCCAGGCTCCTCTGTCCATGGGAGTCTTCATGTAAGAATTATTAGTGGGTTACCATTTCCCTCTCCAGGGGATCTTCCCGACTCAGGGATGCATCTCCTGCATTGGCAGGCGGGTTCCTTACCACTGAGCCACCAGGGAACCCTGACTAGCGTGTCTTTGCTCTATTATTCCCAGACTGGGTGACTTCAGGGAAACCCCTCAGGGCTCCTGCAAGACGAGACAGGTGCAGGGGGTTCGAACCACTGTTACCTTCTCCTAGGATATGATCTGGGGAAGACAGGAGACTACTTTTTTTTGGCTTTTAGATTGCCTTCTGCCATCTCTGGCCATTTTCCTGGTATCTGCCTTTTCTTCTCACAGGAAGCTCAAATGGGGTGACCAACATTCTAAAAATGTGGTATGTATCTTCATACCACTTCCACCCTGAGAAGATCTCTATGAACCCCAGGTCCTGCCTGCATCTCATCCTCCTCAATGAGTCCTCATCAAATGTCCACTCTGTCAAAAGTGAGTTGGAGGATAAAGCCTATGGTTTCCTTGGATAAACAGTTTGCTCAGCATCATAAATCAAAAACCTCTTTAGCTGGGAGAGAGGACTATACATTCCTTTTCGGTTACCTTCTGAGAAAACAGCCAACTCAAATGAGTTTGAAATGATTTCACACTTTTCACCCCAGAGTAAGGAAATAAGACATGTGATCACAGTTAACACATCTATGTGATTTTCCACTGTTGAGTACTGACAGTTTGTATTCCCTGTGTGAGAAGAGAAAAGGCCAGAGGTTTGCCTGTCCATTTCTACCATAACTTGCCCATGACTCCCATCTTACGACAATTCCCACAAATCTTTTTAAATCAACCTAGTGGGCATGCAGTGACTTCTTAACAAGTTGAGTGATGACCAGGGGCTGGTGTCAAATGCTGCCATTGGCCACAGGTGCACAATAAAGGAAGAAGGACCCAACCTCCTACTTTTTCACTGCCTTTAAAATGTAGGGACCTGGGGCTTCCATGGCAGTCCAGTGGTTAAGTGCTTCCACTGCAGGGGACATGAGTTCGATCCCTGGTCTGGGAACTAAGATTCTGCATGCCATGTGGCAAGGCCAAAAAAAAAAAAAAAAAGTAGGGACCTAAAACAACTTCTGCCAAAGCCAAGATTCAGGACATCCAGCACAGTGCACAAGGAAGTGATCATCAGGTACAGGAGCTCTTCCACCTCCCAAACTTCGCTAGACAACAAAGGTCATGTCAGAACTAGATTCCTGTTACCAACAGGCAATATAGCAACCTCTTGCATGAGGTCACTATGGACCCATGAATGAATAAACTAACCCAGATCTTCACAAAGGTAACATGCCTGACTCAAGATGTTCCCAGGCTGCTGAACTGAGGAGTGCTGCATCAGACCCAGGAGGGCCATCATGGGGCCAGTTTTTTGCTTTAGTCATTATACACACACACACACAAAAACTTTAAAAGACAAAAAAACCCCAAGACTTACCCTGCTATTCCCAAGAAACCTCGCAATGGTAACACTCCCCAAATGACACCTAGGACCACAGCAATGATCTGTCGGAACCAGTAAATCACATCTAAAAATTCATCCTGTAGAAAAAAGAGAGAATGTATGCATTATCTGGAGGGAGTACTACAAGAGAACCTCTTGTAACAGGTGAGGAACAGAAAAGCTTTCTGCTAAACTCATCTTCCAGAGAAATTTCCCCCCAAGCAATGGTATTTGGTTCTCCAATCTCTATATCTTCTTCTTATACTAAATTGTGGTTTAAAAAATAATATATATTTACTTATTTTGGGACTTCCCTGGTGGCTCAGATGGTAAAGAATTCGCCTGTAATGCAGGAGGTGCAAGAGACGTGGGTTTGATCCCTGGGTTGGGAAGATCCCCTGGAGAAGCAAATCACAACCCACTCCAGTATTCTTGCCTGGGAAGTCCCATGGATAGAGGAGCCTGGTGGGCTCCAGTCCATGAGGTCAGAGCCAGAGTCTCTTGTAACAGATGAGAAACAGAAAAGTTTTCTGCTAAACTCATCTTCCAGAGAAAGTTTCCCCCAAGACAATGGTATTTGGTTCTCGAATTTCCACATTTTCTTGTACTAAATTGTGGTTTAAAAAAAGATGATATATTTACTTAAGAGATGGCTTCCAGGGTGTTGTGCTCTAGAATTTTCTAAAATTTTAGAAAAATCATTTTTTTTTTTTCAGAAGCTACAAAAATGAAATTGCTGTGACAGTAACTGAGCTACTGGCCAGTTAAGTGACCTGGGGATACCTAGACAGACTAACCACAGGCGGAAGGGCTGACTGTGAACCAATTCACTACCACTTCCCCACACAAGGAATTCTGAGTAAGTCACAAAGGAGAGGCTGCATTAGAAACAAAAGTGAAGAAGGTGCCAGCACATCTAATTTTCATACAAGAACATGGAAGATTCAGGTTTCTGACCTTCCCTGGACTGCAGAAACCAGTCCTTACACAAAGAAAGTAAGACATGACACAGCAAATCAGAAAGGTTTTACAACAGCTGGGCAGGACAAGGGCACTTTCAGGAAGTACCTCCCATTTACCCCCGCCCCCTTACAAGAACCCCAGGAAAACCTATTTCATCACTCCAAAAAAAAAAAAAGGGGGGGGGGAAGATTGCAGATATAACAATCTTTCCAGGCCAACTGGAATCAAGCTATTGGCAACAGTTCCCTCCCCACCATGGAGCAGAGGTGGGGAAGTGCTCACATTCATATCTTCTGAATGCATGTGACCAGTAAGGACATCGTGAAGTTCCCCAACCATTCCTCACACACATTTGGTGGTTTCTCCCCGACCCCTACTCCCCACCACACCGCATGCACAAACGCTCACCCCTGAAAGGCGGTCTGTCTCCCCTCTTAACTCTCACACTTTAATAAGTATATTAAATATAATAAGTATATTTAATAAGGGTATTCAGTTTTCTCATTCGACAGGAAAGCAATGGTAGCTCACCTTTAGTGAGCCTCACTGTGTGCTAAGCACTTTAACGAAGCAGGTACCCCACGTCAGAGTTTTTCTGAGACTCAAGTGAGATGATACACGGAGAGAACCGGACACATAGTAAGTATTCCATAGAAGTCTGCTCCTGTTACTGCTCCTGCCAACGACTCTGGTAGTTAATTCTACATCAGTGACTTACTCAAGATCCTGCTGGCACTAAAAGGCGGAGATGGAATCGAACTCAGCTCAGTCTTGCCGTTCAGGCACGCGACCTGCCTGCGAGGACAACTCCTCCGTCCCTCCTTGCGGGTTCCCGCGAGACCCAGGCGATTTCACCCTTTGACCAACTCTGTGATGAGTCCTGAGCCTGACAGCTGGACCCGCGCAGTTCGCCCCAACGCCCCTGGGCAACCCTGAACACGGCCGGGCCCGGACCGGGACAGGAGCAGGGGCTGGTTCGGGCCTGTCCTTTCGTCCCCGAGTCCCAGCCGGCTCCTCGAACGTGCGCCCCCGCTAGTCCCACCGCACCTTGTCTTCCCAGGCAGCGTCGCTCCGCAGCACCTTGCTCCAGACAGAGACTTTGAGGGCCCCGTTGGCCAGCTGCGGCTGAGACGGCTCCTCCTTCCGCCGCCCGCCGCTCATCCTCCCGTCGCGCCGCCCGGGCCGGGCCTGGGGCGCGCGGGCCGATCTAAAAGGGGTCGGGGTCTGGGGTCGCGGGTCACGGAGCGCGGGGCTGCGGTGGCGGCGACAGCGACAGGCTCAGCAGATCGGTTCTGCGGCGCCCCTCCGGCAGCCTGCACTTGGCCAAACACCCAGGCTCTGTTGGCTCGGTAGAGACCAGGCGCGCGGAAGGCGGAGCCACGCAGCGCCGCGCGTCCTCCACCCGCCGACGTGCACACGCAGCCAATCGGCGGCCGCGCAGCTGTACGAGCGAAAGAACAGGCGCCGCTTCGGCGCAAGCGCACTGTGCTCGGGGACGTGACGGCAAGCTTCTGCTGACCCCGCAGTAAGGTGAGAGGGAAGGGACAATCTTGGTAACGACGACGCCATGAGCGCGAGGAGGCGCAGCGGAAGCATAAGAACGATGTTACCGAGGAAAGCGAGGTTAAACGGGAGCTTCATCCAATCCGCCACAGCTTGCCCTCGAGCAGAGGAGCAGAACACGGCCCTGCCTTACCCGAGGCGTCCTTTGGAGCCCAAGCCTTGCTCCCCGGGGCCCCCAAGTTGCCCCTCGGCTTAGCCCTCGCTTGTTTCCCCCTAACCTTGCCAAGTCCCTTAGGACCTTGTTCAGAAAGTTCATTGTTTGTGTAGTAGTAACTTTAGTGTCTCTTCATGCCTACCATCCTCTTTTGACAGATGTGACCCCTGAGATCCAAAGAGGGGAAATGATTTTCTAAGGCTTTCAAGGGTGTTGGAACCAGCTGAGGACTCCTCAGGGGAGAAAGGTGATATTCTCTCTCAAGGGAGAATATCTTGTTAGATATTCTGACAAGAATATCTGAGAATTAATCCAGCGTGTCCTCGCTACGCGCTTGGTTAGTGGTTCACAAGTGTGCTTCTGGACCAGCAGCAGGTGAATTACCTGGGAATTTGATTAGAGATTCAAATTCTCAGATCCCACTCAGACCCATTGAATCAGAAACTCTGGGGTGGGGCGCATAATCAGAGTTTCCGCCAGCCCGCCAGGTGGTGCCCTGAGCACACTGTACAAAGGAACAAGGCACATGGGTCCTGTGTGGTGGGTTTATAGAGGCAAAGTAACTTGCTCTGAACCACTCAGCTAGTACCTGGCTCTGTCTGATTTCAAATTCTGCACCCTGGGGAGTTTCCTGGAGGTCCAGGGGTTAGAACTCGATATATTTCCCTCCCATGGAATCTGGTTCAATCCCTGATACCAGAACAAAGATCCCACAAACCAGAGGAGCGACCAGGCGGCCAAGAAACAAAACAAAAACCTGCAGGTTTTTTTGTTGTAACGTATATTAGAACTGCATTCCTTTTTTATTGCCAAATACTATTCCAGTCTATCGACGTATTACATTTGTTTATCCATTCATCTTAAAAAAATTTTGTTTGGCCCCACCCCGCATCATGTAGGATCTTAGTTCCTCCACCAGAGATGTTTCCCCAGCCTCCTGCATTGGAAGGAGGAATCTTAACCACTGGACTGCGGGGGAAGTCCCTTTTTATTTACTGGTGTTGTTTTTTATAATGTAGTGTTGCTTCTGCCATACAACAAAGCAAATCAGCCATAATTACATATATGCCCTCCCTCCTGAGCTTACCCCACCCCTCTAGGTCATCACAGAACACCAGACTCTCTCCCTGTGTTACACAGTAACTTCTCACCAGCTATCCATTTTCCACTTGATAGTGTGTATTTGTTGTTGCTACTTTCTCCACTTGTCCCACTCTCTCCCTCCCCCTATTTTTATTTATTTACCTGGCTGCCCTGGGTCTTAATTGCAGCAGATGGGATCCTCCTTGTGTCATGCAGGATGTTTCCTCTCAGCGCAGAACTTTTTTTTTCATCTGCACTGTTAACCTTAAATATAGCAGCAATAGGGTCAGAACATCCTTTGCTTACCTGTCAATATTCATGTGTGGTTCTCCACCTTAGGCGAACAATGGAATCTCCTAGGAAGCTTTTTCAGAATACCATAGCTGTTGTCTTCTACCACAACCCAATCCCAAGATTGTGTTTCAGTAGGTTGAGCGGGGCTGGACCCCAAAGATGATACACACTGCAACAGACATTACTTTTTATTTTTTTATTTTATTTTATTTTTTTTGCAACAGACATTACTTTGTCCGCACCTGGTGGGATGGCCATATACCTGACACGGGTGTACACCTTTCGTCCTAACTTTCACATTATCAGCCCTCCCTCCTCTGAACCAGTTTCCCTCCCCTATGCAAACCTAGAGTAAAGCCTAACCAGCTCACTCCAGTTTGGACATGTATCACTGATATAAAACCTATTTTACAGACTCCCTGATGACATGCAGTGCTGGAGATAGATCATTCTATCACAGAATGTTGGAAGAATACCTGGCCTGGAGTCAGAGACAGAAAAAGTAAGTTTTTAGCCTGCTGGGTCTAGTGGCAGAGGATTGTAATGGGGAATCTGATCTGGGCTGTTAGGGATCTGAACTCGGAGGGAAGAGTAGGAGTTAAGAAGAGGAAGAGGGAGGGGAAAGGAGGAGAGTATTCCAGGAGATGAAACCACATCTGCTATTGGTGAGGAATAAAGCCACAAGTTAGAGAAGGAAGGGGAGACTAGTGCTGAATAACCTTCTTCCAGTTTTATTGAAAAATGATGTGCATCACTGTGTAAGTTTAAGGCCCACAGCATGATGGTTTGATTTATGTATATTTTGAGGTGTTTACCAGAGTAGGATCGGCTAACACCCACCTTCTGAGATAGATACAATAAAGAGAAAAGCAAGAAGAATATGAAAAAGGAAAAATAAAATCTACTGTGATGAGAACTCTTAGAATTTACTCTCTTTTTTTTAATGTTAAAAATTATTTATGTATTTATTTTTGGCGGCACTGGGTCTCCACTGCCGAGCTCAGGCTTTCTCTAATTGCAGCAAGTGGGAGCAACTCTCTAGTTGTAGTGTATGGGCTTCTTATTGAGGTAGCTTCTCTTGTTCCACAGCATGGGCTCTAGGGCCATGTGGGCTCAGCAGTTGTGGCACTTGGGCTTAGTTGCCAGGCAGGTAGAATCTTCCTGAAGCAGGGACTGAACCTGTTTCCCCTGCATTGGTGGATTTTTAACCACTGGCCCACCAGAAAAATCCAAACTTTCACCATTTTTCAGTGCGTAGCTCTCTGACCCAGTGCAGTACATTTGCTGGTGGTCGCATCCATTTTCAGAACATTTTCATCATACAAAACTGAAACTCAGTGCTCGTTACACTGTTAACCCCCCACTCTCCCCCTCAACAGCTGGCAGTTACCATTCTACTTTCTGTCTCTGAATTTGACTGAGTTCCTCATTAACAGTGTAATCGCACACATTTGTCTTTTTCTACTGATTTATTTCACTTAGCAGTACATCTTCAAGGTTCATCTATGTTATAGCATGTCGGCACTTCCTTCTTTTGTAAGGTTGAAGAATAACTTCCTTAAATGTTCACAGTGTATACATTCTGTTTATCCATTTATCTATTAAGGGACAGTTGGGCCTTTTTGCTATTGTGAATAATACTACAATGAATAAGTGTACAAAACATCTGTTCATTTCTCTGCTTTCAATTCTTCTGGGTATATACTCAGAGTGGAATTACTGAATCATATCATACTGCCTTTAATTTTTTGAAGTATTGCCATAGTATTTTCCATTCCCACCAAGAATAGACAAGAGTTCCAATTTCTCTACATTCTCATCAACACTTGTTTTTTGTTTTTTTTTAAACAGTCAACCTAATGAGTGTAAATGAGTGTAAAGTGGCATCTCATTGTGTTTTGATTTGCATTTCTCTAATGATTAGTGATGTCAAGCATCTTTTCACTTGCTTGCTGACCATCTGTTTATCTCTTGGAGAAATGTCCATTCCAAAACTTTGCCTATTTTTGAGTCTAGTCTTTTGGGTTTTTGTTGAGTTCTAGGGGTTTTATGTATAGACTAGATAGTAATCCCTTATATGTAATTTGCAAACACCTCCTCCCATTCTATAGGTTGCCTTCTTACTTTGTTGGTCATGTCCTTTTGGGGGGGAGTGGGGCAGATTATGTGACATATAATCCAAACCTTTGTCAAGTGCTGAGTACCAGGTCAATAAAACTTTTATTGTAATGTTTGCACTATGTCATCAGGGAAATAAAACAAGAAATATCCTTTAATAAACAAATTTTTAAATTTTAATAAAGTGCGATTTGTCTCATTTTTTGATTGTTGTTGCCTGTGCCTTTGGTGTTACGTTCAAGAAATAATTTTCAGTCCTATGTCATCAAGTTTTTCCATGTTGTCTTTTATAGTTTTAGCTTTTACGTTTAGGTCTTTGGTCTATTTTGAGTTAATTTTTAGTGTTAGGTAAAGGTCCACCTTTATTCTTTTACATGTGCATATCCAGTTTTCCCAGCACCATTTGTTAAAGACTGTCCTTTTACCATTGAATGGTTTTGGCATCATTGTTTGACCGTATATGCGAGAGTTTATATCAGGGCTGTCTAATTTATTCCATTGGTCTGTTTGTCTGTCTTTATGCCAGTGCCACTCTTTTGATTACTATAGCTTTGTTAAGCTTTGCAATCAGGAAGTGTGAGTCCTCCAACTTTGTTCTTATTTTTCAAATTGTTTCACTTATTGGATATCCCTAGAGATTCCATATGAATTTTAGAATGAGTTTTTCTATTTCTGCCAAAAAAAAAAGTCATTGGGATTTTGATGGAGAATGCAGTGATTCTGTAGATTGCTTTGTAGTAACAATATCAAGTCTTCTAATCCATGAGTATGAAATGTTTTTCCGTTTATTTGTATATTCTTTAATTTTATTCAGTGATGTTTTGTAGCTTTTTGACATGTAAGTCTTTCACTTACTTGGCTAATTCCTAAGTAGTTTATTCTTTTTGATGCTATTGTAAGTGGAATTATTTTCTTAATTTACTCTTTGGATTTTAAAAGTAATTTTTATTTATTTATAGCTGTGCTGGGTCTTCGTTGCTGTGCAGACTTTTCTCTAGTTGCAGCGAGCAGGTGTCCCATTGCGGTAGCTTCTCTTGTTGCAGAGCACCAGCTCTAGGGCGCAGGCTCAGTAGTTGTGGCACACAGGCTTAGTAGCTCTGCGGCATGCAGAACCTTCCTAGAGCAGGGATGGAACCTGCGTCTCCTGCATTGGCAGGCAGATTCTTTACCACTGAGCCAGCAGGGAAGCCCCTCCTTTTTGGATATCTCATTGAAGAGAAATAGCTGATTTTTGTATCTTATAGCATTGCTGAATCCATGTATTAAGTTTAACAGTTTTTCTATGTGTAGAATCTTTAGGGTTTTCTACATATTGATCATGCCATATGCAGAGATAACTGTTTCTTCCCCCTAAGAAGAGTTAATTTTTTATATGTCATATTGTATCATATTATATACGTCATATTGTATCATATTTTGAAGCTCTGATTGGAACCCCAAGATTCGCTACATTTATCTTTACGGGGGCAGAGGACAGTGTCACAGAAAGTTTTATTTGGAAAGCTGCTTAGATCCTGCAGTCCAGCTCATGGTCCCTTGGCTGTTAGAGGTCCAGCAGGCATCTTAAACCTCATCTGTGTCCCTCCGCTTGTCTTCCTGTACTGTGCTTAGTCTTTCAGTCTTGTCTGACTCTTCGTGACCCATGGACTGTAGCCCGCCAGGCTCTTCTGTCCATGGAGATTCTCCAGGCACGAATACTGGAGTGGGTTGCCATGCCCTCCTCCAGGGGATCTTCCTAACTGAGGGATTGAACCCGGGGCTTCCGCACTGCAGGCAGATTCTTTACTGTCTGAGCTACCAGGGAAGCCCAAGGATGCTGCAGCGGGGAGCCTGTCCCTTCTCCACAGGATCTTCCCAGCCCAGGAATGGAACCCGGGTCTCCTGCATTATAGGATTCTTAACCTGCTGAGCTACCAGGGAAGCCCTAGAGCCTTCTAGGAGCAGAAAAAGCCAAGCTGGCAGCATTGAAGGTCCTTGCCTAGAAGGCATTCATGGCACTGAGACTGGTTCCCTTTCTTCCTTTCACCCAACACTTATCTTAGGAAGTGGGGAATTTGGCTGAAACCCAGTGGATCCATCTGGTTAAAATAAACATCTTGGGTGGTCTAAGATGGAAAAGAACTTGAAGAGTCAGATTTGGAAGGAGAAATTTTGCCTTTGTGAGGTTGGGTTTTTTTTTTTTAGCACCAGTTAAACATGTCACTCTTGGGACCAAGGGTGTTCTCCCAGTTGAATGCCCCGTTACCACTGCCAGCTGCTTGTAGCAGGCTTTGGAGGAAGGTGTGCTCTGAGGGGCAAGATTGTGGCCTCAGAGAGAAACAGACGGAATCACAGAAACCCGGTGCCCTGGTGGGGGAAAAACTAAGGAACTGTGAAGAGAGCACTGGTTGTGAACTAGAGGCCTGAGTTTCTTCTCTTTGCCTAAAAGAAATATTTTACTAGCGTTATTGAGCCCTTGCATGTGTGCAGGCTAAATTGCTTCAGTTGTGTCTGCCTCTTTGCAACCCCACGGAACTGGAGCCTGCCAAGCTCCCCTGTCCATGGGATTCTCCAGGCAATACTGGAGTAGGCTGCCATTCCCTCCTCAGGGTGATCTTCCCAACCCAGGGATCAAACCATGTCTCTTCTGTCTCCTGCATTGGCAGGCCGGTTCTTTCTTTACCACTAGTGCCACCTGGGAAGCCTATTGAACCCTTACCAGGTGCCAACTTTACTAAATGTTTTACATACATTTGTTTTCTCCAAAAGCTGGCTGGGATCTTAGTCATTATACTGAACTCCTCTCCTGTAAACAGTGGTCCTTCCCTTAGAGTATGTGTTCCAAGATCTTCAGTGGATGCCTGAAACTGGATATTCTAGGGATACTATGTTTTTCCTATGTGTACATAGCTATGATAGTTTAGTTTATAAATCAGGTACAGTAAGAGCATATCTGAATCGCCAGTGTCACTATTCTTGTACTTTGGGGCCACTATTAAATAAATAAGGGTGACTTGAACACAAGCACAGAAGTACAGCAACAGTGGATCTGATAACCAAGCAGGCTCCTAAGTAACAGGTGGGGTGAGCAGCATATACAGCATGAACAAACAGGATAAAGGGGTGATGCAGATTTCAGGCCTGGAGGGTGGGAGATTTCATTATGTTACTCAGAACAGCATGCAATTTAAAACTCATGAACTGTTTCTTTCTGGAATTTTCCAGTTAGTATTTTCAGACCAAGGTTGACCATGGGTAAACGAAAGTGTGGAAAGTAAAACTATGGGTAGGAGATTACTGTACCTTTACTTAAAATTTGTAGTGAATGTGGACTACTTGTATAATGAAAATGACCATCTCAGGAAGGCTACACTTGACCTTCAGGCCACTATAGCTTTGAGAAGT